ATATAGGCCTATATATATATATATATAATTTATTAGATAATCATTTCTAAATTACTAATTGCGTGCCTATTATCTTTTCGATTTATCCTGGTTAATTCCTTAAAGTTTTTTATTTTAATCTGTTTTGTATTTCTCATTTATACGTGTAAACGCTGAAGAAAGCCAAATATTCCTCCCTGGACCCATTAATGGCCTGTGGTGCATTGGACAACAACAGGGTACGAATTTTTCTCTTTACAAAGAGTGTATTTTCTTTAACCCGAATAACTGGTCATGCTGAACACAAATATAAAATAAGATCAAATTTGCACCAGACACACTCAATCGAAATGTCATTAATTTACATAGCCAATAAATGACAGAGAAAAAATAATTTTGTTTTATAAATTATTTATCATTACCGTATTTAATATGAGATAGACATAACCATGTGTTCACTAAGATATTATCTTTGTGAACACATGGTTATCCTCAGTAATGAATTTTGATTATTGTATTTTAAAGATATTGTAGGCCTATATTTACGCAATTATATTTAACGTCTCCCTCCTAATTTAATTTGAATGTGTCCTCTAAATTAATTTGTATTTATATAAATTTATTTATTTCAACGATGTGTTTTTGAGGGTTTTCATCAAGCCGGAGCTGGCAATTTGCGACAATTACTGCAATTCATTCTATTCATAATTTCAATTCAATTCAATTTATTTGACTTGTTTAAAGTATTCAAATGTTGTGAATTAGATCAATTGAATTGAAGTAAAAATGTTTCCAATGATTCATTTATTATTAAAATTGTAATGAATATTTTAATGCCTATTATTTAGTTTTAATATATTCTAATCTTCATATATATCTTATTTTATATTATTTTATTTTCATAGTAATAATAACGATAGAAAATAATATATTTAATAAATGCATACAGATAAGAAAACATTAGTACCTGCTAAAAGAGATCACAAACAAGTATAAAAAAAAACAGCTACCAAATATACAGTCAAGAAAGAATATATTTCCGCCTATAAGAAAGTATATTACATTATTACTCATTTGAGATTAAAATATTCTTATTTTCTTTCAGCCCTGGACATAATCTTGGTTCTCCATGGATATTGGGCTTTAGCTTACTAGAGTGATACAATCTATACAGTACTGTAATGCTACCAGCTACTGACACTACTCTACTGTGACTGTACGCACCATTTCCATTGAAGAAGCCCAGACCAGCAGCAGATAAATCATCTTTACAAAATGCAATGGTCTAGCTCATTTGCATATCTCTCACACTGTACTGTATGTATGGATAAATTAAATCCATTAAACAGCGATATATTATTACCAATGAGGTGTTAAAGCTCTATCTTCTGAATAAAAATTATTTATTATTATAAATAAAGACATTTTATTATATATATATATATATACATATATATATGTATATATTTCATAATGTAAGTGATTTGTAATACTATTAGGTCTCCGTTTATAATGTGTATTAATTATTGTGTAGTGTGATATGTTTGGAGTCACTTTTGCTTATGGATTGCGGCGCAGCAGTGAAGTATGACTACTAACTGCATATTTATTATTTATTTACCACAGAATATATTGCATCAAAAGGCTTAGAAAAAAGAAATTAATTATTAACTAAAGTACTCGTATAACGTGACAAATATCACAAGTTAATAATATAATTTATAAGCGTAAATAAGGTCTATAGAAAATTATAGATAGGTCTATTAAATTTATATTTGTATACTTATAACATTATGTTTTTCGTTTTTCCATCTTTATAATGATAATTAAATATTATCATCTGGGAATCATACACAATTCATGCAAGTGAAATTCCACAGTATATAAAGTACTCGTATAACGTGACAAATATCACAAGTTAATAATATAATTTATAAGCGTAAATAAGGTCTATAGAAAATTGTAGATAGGTCTATTAAATTTATATTTGTATGCTTATAACATTATGTTTTTCGTTTTTCCATCTTTATAATGATAATTAAATATTATCATCTGGGAATCATACACAATTCATGCAAGTGAAATTCCACAGTATATTTTAATAATATAGCGTAATAAATATCACAAGTTAAAAATATAATTTATAAGCGTAAATCAGGTCTATATAAACATAGATAGGTATATTAAATTTATATTTATATATATTTATAACATTATGTTTTTCGTTTTCCCATCTTTACAATGATAATTAAATATTATAATCTGGGAACCATACACAATTCATGTACGAGAAATTCTACAGTAGAACTAGTATAACGTGACAAATATCACAAGTTAATAATACAATTTATAAGCGTAAATAAGGTCTATAGAAAATTATAGCTGGGAATCATACACAGTTCATGCAATCATGAAATACCACAGTACATATCTTTAACGTGTTACATTTTCATCTAGTTTGTTTTAATTAATTAATGTAGGCCTATATACATTGATCAGCGATAAAATCCGTTGAATTTCAGCTCACTGCCATAGTGCTGCTTCTCTAATATGTAGGCCTACTTTAATTTGTTTTGCTGTGTGTATGTATTTAAAGCAGTCAGTACAGTGCACTTATAAATAGCTCATTTTATACAAATTGACGACGGGCGATGCCCAAAAATGTTAAGATTTTCAATAAATTTAATGTAGGCCCTAAAATTCTGTGTTACGTATTTGTCGTTTGTTGCCAATGTAGCCTCATTAGTTTATATATAGGCATATATATAATATATATATAGGCATATATAAGTATATACCGTATATAATAATATATAAATCATATATATATATATATATATATATATATATATATATTACTGTACAATAGTGAAATGATAATTATGATATTATATACGATATAATAATATCAAATCACATAAAATATAAAATAATAAACTTATTAATAGGCCTATGTGCATGCTACTGTGCTACTGAAGGTCTAGTGTTGTCGCTTTGGTTCTCTCTCTGGCTGTTTAACTTTACGCTTACATTTTAAATAAATATATCCGAGTATATTAAGATAGATAATGCAAAATATTTTAATAACGAAACCTTACAGAATAATATTTTAACAAAGAAAACCAACATTGGCATAGTGTGTGTGTGCGTCAAATATTATCGTTGTAAGGCCTACGACGGTATTTGTGTATATAGAACAACTACTTTTCTTCAGAAAGCTTGCGCTATTCGGAAAAATCTCTCCAATTTAGCGCCCCTGTACAACAGCATATAAAATAAATTATGTTGACTATTCGAGAATAATGTTTTGTGTAATTGATTTATTGGATTGATTGTGCGGTGATACTCCAAATGTGTTAAGCCCGTGAAAACCAATTATAGCCTGCTTTTAGAAAAGACATGAAGGTATGTGTGACATGTCGCCCTCTAGAGGTATCAGCGTATGTTAGTACAAAAATAAAATATATAACAATTGAAAGAAAAATATATATGAACGCAATGTGAAGTCCTGAAAGTTAAGATTAATCAGGTTAAATTAATATTATACAATTAGATTGATCTGTTTGACTAATATAAGTAAATATAAAGGCATCTAGAGGTATTATGATAAACTGGGGTTCAACTTTCTTGAATTCGTTAGGCGAGCTTAAAGCCTGCCCTCAGTAGCTCCAGTGGATAATATCAGTCAAGGTCATTGACGATAAGGTCAAAGATTATAAAGTCAGTGGAGTTATTTACTACTACCCATAAATGTCTATAAGTATGACTGGTTGCTTGGAAACCTAATTCCAAATCATTAGCATATTTAATGCGTGGTTTTGTTTCATATAAATAGACGAAATTTCTCATTTATACGGTACAATATTAACTTTCTATAGTAAAATTTGGCACAAAATACACATCGTCTACTACTATGCTACTCTCTTTCTTATCACGTATATTTCTATTCCGTCTACTGTACTATACATACTGTACTAGCATTTATTTATTTCATTACCGGTACATAAAGTATACCCTATACCAAATAGTTTTTTTTTCCTATCCTGATAATGTTTGCTGTTGTTGGTACTATTAATATAAAGATCGATTGACTCCTTATGGTACACTATTATCCTAGGTAGGTATAAAAAGGGTTTTCTGTGGATGAAAATTGAGCAAGAAACATGAGTGATATACGATTTTTTTTTATCTACGCGTATTAATCGTAGGCAATTGCTCTCCATAGACCACTTACGCCAAACAATTAGATGAAGCGTAGTTGAACATGTTCATCTTTAGCATTAGCCTAATTGATTTCATCAGGGGCAACATTCAATCTGTAAAGTCATTAACGGATATTCTATATAAATCAAATCTTTCGCTTGGTAGTAGATAATACAGTTTATGAGCAGACTGTGAACACACATTGAAGATACAGTAATTAAATCTATTTTCATATTTAAAAAAATTATTTCAGAGTTGGTTTTACATTTGGAATTTTACTTACTTAATTAGGATACTATTATTCCTCCATATTGTATCACTATAGATAGTATCTATTTATTAAATGATGTCATTCTCTCCATCTCCGTTTCTACGAAGTTGAGCAAAACCACAATCTGAAAATGAAAGTGAGCCTCCAACGTTAGTAGTATGTGATTCATCATTGAGGGCGGGTGTAGGATATCGGGAAGGCACTGATATAGGTCCTGATAATACTACAGATAATAGGACATTCACAGAATGCAATTAATCTTTATCGGTTTTAACAGCAATTACAGGCTATAATAAATGGATAATTTATGTTATAGATCTTGAGATAAATTGATCTACACAACATATTAAAATTATATTGAAAATGTTGATTGCGTACTTGATATTACTTTTATCGCACACATTTTTTTTTTTTACCGATTCTTAATTATTTCCATGGGTGGTGAGTGGAGGAATATATTGTTTATGTGGTGGGTGATTAACAATATCATGACAACTATATCAGTCAACATATTTATTTATTTTACCATGACACCACAAGATTTTCATTTTAACGAATGCGTTGAAAAGGTTATTTTATTAGAATGATTTACATTCCATGTAAATGTACATCAAATCATGTTCAAAAGCCCTGACGGAAGACTGACAACTGGTTTAAAATCTGGAAACCCAAGGGACGCCCTTTCTCTCAACATCGTATGTACAGATTGACAGGGGTGTGACCATCATAAATAACAAAAATTCCAACCCTCTGAACTCACAAATAATGTTCTGGTTTAGGTGTCTTTATGCTTGATGATTATGAGTGAACGACAAACCGCATGCCACAATATGAATGTAGCTTATATTTTAAATAGAATTAGGTAAAGAAACTATATAAATCTGATTTATGTAGAGAGATTCCCGCTGTTTCAGGTGTACTATTATTAAGCTAATGATAGGTATGCAGGAATAAAGAGACACAAAGTGGAAAACAAAAGCAATGAAGGCTAAAATAACGAAATAGCTATTGACTACTAGAATGGGGCAAGGCAAACCAAGTACTGAATTCTTATGGAAAATAAGTTAGTATGGACAAGGTCAACCAACAGTGTGTGAGAAAAATATAAATTAAAATATTTATTGTCACCCCAATCCATAATACATCATGTTCTAGTGGAATGTCTGATCTATTATTTGTATGCTAATGACTTTGTTGCACTGAAGAAGTGAATGATAATAATATAGTACTTAAATTAACATTTGGAATGACGCAACGTGTATTTTTGTACATGTTTCATCATATCACGAGCGTATGGTAGGAGAGTTCAGACAAAACTTACTCCGTTATTTTACGCTATGTCGTTTGTTTACATTTTTTTAAATAAGCAGCCGACGCAGAATCTGAAAGTGTTATTCAGTTCACTAGAAATCAACGACGTTTGTGAAAGGTTTTACTGCTCGGCGGCTTCCTTTCATGTCAGAATTGTTTAGATATTATATAAACATAACTGTCCGTTGAAAAAGGTCAGTTAAGTTAACAGAATAGAGCAATAACAAGAACACTATAACGGTAGCAGTGTCTTCAATTATCAATAAGTGTAAATACTCAACGATTAAAGTAAAATGCATTATTATATAAACTTGCCCGCAAAGTCATATCAATATTGGATTGTTGTTAATAATTTCCAATCTGAGAGATGAGTGAATACTCAAATCAAATAAAATTTTAATTTAATTATCGATAATGCGGATGTTATATATGTATTACAATACAATTACTGTATTTTTTAAGAGAACCATGTATAATTCATGAGAGAAAGTTGACGGTTTGTTAATAATACTAAAAATAATTAATAATACATTTGGAGGACAGCCCGCAATGCTAAAAACTGAAGTGTGTAATTTCGGGAAATCCGCATGGAAAGTTAACACTGATGATGTTGCCCATAAAGCTCACAGTTGATGATGACCGTGGTAGGTGGGCTAATCTTGGGCTAGACACATTTTACTAATCCACCACTGGAGAACAGATCATAAATTGATAAGTCATTAGTAGCTCCATGGAGGTACCGTACCGTATTGTAAAATGTAATCTACTATGCACAAAATTACCCACAATACCCATGGTTATTCCTTGCATATTATTTTCGTGACAGGCCTTCACCGCAAAACGTCTTGTGCGCGCTCAGTGTTCGTGTTTACGAGACCTTTTATTGCAACCGAATTGTTGTGGTGTTTTACCGTTGTTCACTCAATGTAAGTCCTGGATGACTCTTTACCCCTAGACCCAATGGCGAGAATGTGGGTATAGAGGGAATTTTAAAATGAAATGGATATAAACAAATAAAGGAGGGTCAATCGATACAGGTTGTAAAACTGACTTTACTCCGAAAACCTAGTACAGAGCACGTTTTTTTTTCAGGCGAAGGAACTATATTATTGAATTTTAACTCGTTGCAGTTCGGGAGCTTCTTAGTATCAGACTGTGTTGTATTCAATGTTTTTTTTATATTATATTTTATTTGTTTTACATCAAATACAAAACAGTCAAAACATAATAAATGGCATAATTATAGGTCTAACACTAAAACATTCATCAAAATTAAACACGGTAATAATAGCAAATTGAAAAGAAAACACCAATATTCGGCCACAAAATAGTGGGAAACCCACTTTCATCTTTTATTGTTAAGCGGCAAAACTACTGCTATCATTCCAGCATCCGGTCATAGGCAGAAAGTAACAAATGCTACGGTACTAAAGCGTTCCTTCAACCAAAAGTAAGGTAGTAACAGAGGCGGAGACATTTCACTCGTCTTCATCACAATTACAGGAGGTTAGGTGGGCTACTTTTTATTCTTATGTCTTGAACCGAAGAATTTATGTAATGTAATACAGGCTTTCGACCAAATTAATGTTTA